AAATAATTCAAGCTTATTAACCATGAAAACACTCCACCATAAATTAATGGTTGCACTCTTGGATTAACTATAATTACAAGAAACAATTGAATAATTGATATCAATTATTAATTGTCGAATTGCAAACTTTACATTGCAAACCCTCATAACCATCCAATGACAAAAGATAAAATTACCGTTTTATCTTTTATGTCAATTTTGTTCCTTAATATTAAATTTCATCTAATTAGTTATTCAATACTCTAAATCTAATATTTTAAGTATCTATATATGATGAGGAGCTAATTCATCAATCCAATAGGCCCAAATGAATCACCAATTTTCTTGAAATCACTAAAAATGTATTAATGTTATGAACTCCATTATTTGGATATATGTTCCCAAATGTTCATCTCAATTATAATCCAAAATATGGAGTCTAGATCAATGCTTTATGATGATCATGCTCATGGTAAATCAAAGATTATAAGAAGATTAAACACGAGTCCATTATCCATCAAGATTTCGGTTCTATTATAAGTAAATGCATAAGTGTGAAACCAAGATGTAAATAACTATTAAACTTAAATTTGATTCTCACATGATTTCAGTTCATGTTATGGTGTTATTACTCGAAGTCAACCATTTTGATGATTTGAAACTCATCATTCTCTTGAAGTAAATCACATTCATTTCGTTGGAAGTAATCTGGACACTAGAGCCCTAACACAATAAAAAAACTAACTTTATTATATGGCTGTGAATAATTTTTAGATTCAATTAAAATACATGTCTCCTATGCATGACATTTCATACAAATGTATTTTAATATCTAAATAGAATCATGGTACCTTAATAACTAGATAATGAATACTTACTTAAAACAAACTCTTCGTCTTGTTATCAAAGTGTACTTTCATTGCAAATTTAATGAAATTAAGTATGAGAATATATTTGCTTTCCAAGATATCATATTCTCAAAATTCCTAACACTCTTTGCTTATTTTCATCTTCCCATTTTATTGGCAGTGATCTCTCCATTGAATCGAATTCAAAAGTTGCTCTTTCATGGGTTACCGATGTCGCTCTAAGACCATGGAACCTATGGCTAATTTTAATGATATTGACCACCACTCAGAATTATTGGTAACTTATCCATGGCTTTAGGGAAGGTAATTCCCTTGCAGACTTTCTTTCCAATCTTAGAGTTACCCAAAGCTCCATGTTCTTAGCATTATGGTAACGACCGGTCTTTTTTCAATCATGAATTTTCTAGCTTCTGTTATCCAAGATTTGTTCCTTCACTCATTCCCTGGTGGTGTTTGATGACTGCTTTGATTCTTGAGCTAATCAGTTTCTTTGTTGCTCTTGCTTTTTTGATTCCCTACTGCAACTCTCGTTTTTGTTTTTCCTGTTACGCTTTTGCATTGTAATTCTGTTTTTTTGCTTCAACATTATGCGATTGTTTCTATCTTTTGTTCTGCTTTTAAGTTGCTCTCTCCCATCCAATTATTGTTTCTTTGCTCAAGTTTCTTAAGTTGTATATTTTGAACGGATTTGCTCATTCCTCTAGTACTCATGTTTTGCTTAATATATTATCTTTTCTTTGGCTGAGAAGAAAAAAAAAGAAACCACATGGCAACCCTCAAATATTGGTGAATATAAATTCAACGTGGATGGCTCTACAAGAGGTAACCCAAGTCCTACAGGCTGTGGGGGAGTACTTCGTGATACAAAGAGGTAGGTGGTGGGTATAATTTTTAGGCCTCTTGGTGTGCAAGATTCCAACTATGCAAAGTTGATTGCCATCAAACATGCTTACGCATATGTGCTTCCACATCTTATGCAGGAAAATAATAAACTTATCATTGAATTTGACTCTATAGCTGCACTCACTTTGGTGAAAAATGAAGAACAAAAGCCATGGAACATTTGGCGCATCTTTAATGAGATTGATGCACTGCAAAACACTCTTAAAGGGGTGGCATTTCAACATACCTTAAGGGAAGGAAACTCTTTCACAGACATGCTAGCCAAACAAGGAATTGATGCTGAAACTATGTTCTCAGGTGGTAGCTTTATCTCTTCAAGCCTATATGTTTTTAGTTCTTTTTTCCTATCCTGTTTTTATGCTTATCATGTATTCTTGTGGTTGTTTCTACTAGTTATTGTGCTTTTGACGTGTAATGTTGCATATATGTAAGTTGGTAGAAGTAAGTGCTTAGCACTTTGTTTTGTATCCTTTACTACCTTAAGCTGATTACTACTGAAAACCACTTTATTGGTTGAGACCAAAAAAAAAAAAAAGCCAAAGCCTTCTTCCACCTGATAAGTATCTCGTAGGCATTTTTTTTGGGGAGTTGAAAATATGGGTCTGTAACAACTGGCATTAGATACTACCCAACTCTTCATTGATCTAGGATGTTCCGTAAGAGATATTAAGATCAAGTTAGACCTAGACCAAGAAAGGTATTTCTTTTTTATGAATGAAAATGTCAGTGCAACGAGAGCGTTATAAAATTAAATAAAGTAGAACATAACGAATCTTATATTAATAAGAAATAAGATGGGTTTTGGGCTTGTAAGTATAGGTTTTCCTCCACTTAATAGATTATCTTAGACATGTTTTTTGGATTGAAAATATGAATCCGTAATATTAAATGCTATCACAATTTTTCATTTTCCAAAGAGTTGTTGGTCTTACACATTTTTTTAACCATCCTTTGAGAGACAGCATTTTTTTTTCTTTCATTTATGCACATGTTATTTAATCAAAGATTTAAATGTGTCAATTTTTTTTGTAGAATAAATTAAAGAATTTTTCATTTTAAATCAAAAAGTGTAATACAAATGAAGTACGTCTTTTTCTCAAGAAAGTTGTTAGGTGTAGATTTTTTATAGTCAATTTTTTTGAATTATTTTCTTACATTTAATTAATGGTAATAAATTTCAAATAAAAGGAGACCATAGCAAAATTTGACAATGACAATTCCAACAATATCAACATAACCCCGCTAAAACCAGCATGGAGTGATTCAACTCAAAATTACTAAAACTATACATGAGGTGAACCAGACCAAGTGCCATTCTTTAACCAAATCTATAACTTCGGCTAAAACTCAAAAACTCAATCAAGCCGGCATCGTTCATGAGCCGACGGCCCTTTTTGCGTGACAAGGTGTCCTTGGACACATGCAGTATTTTAATTTCAAGATATCTTCACCACTTGGTCATTTGCCTGCACATAAAGGTTTTGGATTTTTTATTATCGAAAGATTTTCTTTTTTTGACCTTTATGTTAAATTCTCAGCTAAATATATATTATTAAATACACATGTGAGTAATAAAAGATTGCACTCCACCGCGTTGAGGTGGGTATATTTCTCTACTATTCTTGTTATTTTGATAACATCTGTTTACTTCAAAACGTGGGCTGCGGTCACTGTCAAACGCAAGACGGAACTGAACTTTTGAAGGATGCTCGCTGGTTCGTCGTTCTCAAAAAGCCAATTGAATACAGTATACTATTATATTACTAGCAAATATTTTTTGACCCCAATTATGTAGAAAAGGCCAAAGTCGGTGAATAATTTAATGGCTGACTTACTCTTTAAATGTTCATATACCCTTTGTTCAAAGGTTTGAAATTTCAAAGTAAATGTATTTTTTACTCCATCCAAGCCAATAGCGAATGGGTCTAAAGAGAATAATAACAATAATGTCTGCGGCCACAAAATTGGAAATTGCTAACGCAACATCGCAGCAAAGTAAACTCCTTTCTACAATGCCCTATAAATTGAAGAAAGCTTCAAGCTTTTTGTCATCCTCCTCTTTCTCTAGCCATAGCTTGCTCCTCTGTTAACTGTGTCTTGTGTTTAACTAATCAAAACTCAGCTTTCGTTTTCGTCATTTGAAAAGAAAAATGGTAACAGCCGTTAGAAATTCTTTGTCACTCGTAGCAAGTAGAGCTGCTGTTGTTGTGATCCTGTTGCTTTTGATCAGCGACTGCCAATGCCAAGCACAACTTTCTTCTACATTTTATGAAAAGAAATGCCCAAATGCACTTAGGACCATTCGCACAGCCATCAGAACCGCTATTGCACGAGAGCGTAGAATGGCTGCGTCTCTAATTCGCCTTCATTTCCATGACTGCTTTGTTCAGGTACTTACATATATAACAAATTAGTTATATCTTTTTAATTTATGTTCCTGCCCATATTAAATTACAATCCCACAATCTTAACGGGGTCTCTTGCCTTTTATAATCAGGGATGTGATGCCTCAATCTTACTAGATGATGCCCCCTCAATCACAAGCGAAAAGAATGCACTCCAAAACAAAGACTCTGCAAGAGGTTATGAAGTCATTGACAAGGCAAAATCTGATGTGGAAAACATTTGTCCTGGAGTTGTATCTTGCGCAGATATCCTCGCAGTTGCAGCCAGGGATGCCTCAGAATACGTGAGTAACTCCATACATTATGACCTTCCTCCCGAGATCCAGATATCTAACTTGTCATCTTCGTTTGATTTCTCGTGTTGAAAATTTACCCTTACAACATCTCTCTTCGATCAACTCAGGTGGGTGGCCCATCTTGGACAGTGAAGCTTGGGAGAAGAGATTCTACCTCTGCTAGCGTTAGTCTGGCAACCAGTCAACTTCCTCTTTTCACAGCCAGCCTTGAAAGCCTAATCGATCTCTTTAGGAGCAAGGGCCTTAGTGCAAGAGACATGGTTGCTCTGTCAGGTTTGTGAGGAAATTATTTAACAAAATCCTTACGTTACATTTCGTTCTCCTTGTATACAGTCAATAATAAATGAGGGTTAATCCATATGCAGGTTCCCATACCATTGGACAAGCTCAATGTGTTACATTTCGGAACCGGATATACAACAATGCAAGTGACATCGACGCCGGATTTGCTAGCACACGCAGGCGCCGTTGTCCCGCCACTCTTGGCAATGGCGATGGAAATTTGGCAGCACTTGATCTGGTGACACCCAATTCTTTTGACAACAACTACTTCAAGAACCTGATGCAGAAGAAGGGTCTTCTGGAGTCAGATCAAATCCTTTTTAGTGGTGGATCCACAGATAACATAGTCTCAGAATATAGCAGGAACCCTTCTACTTTCAAGTCTGACTTTGCAACTGCCATGATCAAAATGGGAGATATCGAACCTCTAACAGGTTCAGCTGGGATAATAAGGAGGATTTGCAGCCGTGTGAACTAGTTGATGCATCTCCTCACGTGTGGCGTGTACATTTGTTAACTACAACATTGAAAGTTGTCTCTTCCTCAATTGTAGATGCTGGTTTCATTTCTCTCTTCATTTATTCCTTTCAGTCTTTCAATCGTAAAGTACTTGTATTGGCTTTTTTTTTTCCTGATCCTCATATAGGCAATTTGTTGATTTGAATAAAAAACCTCTTCGTTTTGGGACACTAATATCTGTTCCATACTTGGACTTTTTGCTTTGTAGAAGCTTATAAAAAAATTAGGATTCTTGCCTGCTGTGTTGCCATTGCATTTGAAGCAGAGTATGTAGTGAATGTCAAAAGTAAAATTTATCTCAAATTGAATTTAGTTCAATTCAATTTAGTTTAAAAAAGAAAACACAAGTCGAATATGAATTCAAAGTAATTTGAATCTATATTTACTCAATTTTGATTGAAACTCAACAACTTTTGAAGTATTATTCACTTTTATTTGAAAGTTTTTCATGATATTACTCATAAATATTAAATAATACTTTGCAAGTTTGGTACGAGCTTCGAAATATATTACATAAGGAATATATTTATAAATTTATAACATGAAATTTAAAATATTTAAATAAATTGATATAAAATTTAAAATTAAAATAATCCCTGATATAATTCAACACTTCCTGACCAAAACCCTTAGAAAACCCGAACCCCAACCTAACCCAGTCATGCTCATGACTCAAACTGTGCAACATAGGTCAACGCGACCTCGAGGTTGGTCTAAAAATCCAAAATTAATCCAAGTTAGTTACTTTAGTACTTTATGTAATTTAAGTTGGTTGCTGTTTAATATATTTAAAATATTTAACACTAGAAAATTAAATATTGATTTAGTGTAGAAAATTCAATAGCTCACCTATTGAAGAAACGGAGTCGCAAATTAAATTTACACCGAAAAAATTTAAGCCAGCAAGAGAAAATGAAATAAAGTTAGAATAATTGTCAAATTAGGCTATTATTATCGATTTGGAGAAAGGTATATTAATTTAAGGCCTACTCCAAATACATATAATTACTATCAAGTCAAAAGTGTTGGAATGATACATGAAATTATTATATGTGCGTTGAAAAGTTGTATACAGTATTTGTTTTATTATTTACTAATTTCTCTTCAAATTAGCTAAACCTAAATTAGGCTCATGCTTGACTCTTGAACAGACACATGGCTGACTTAGCATCAGAGAGAACAAAAATGTGGTAAGTATGCAATTATAAATAATACATGGGATCAAAAAGTAAATTAAAGCTTAGATTGGGTAACCCAGAATAGAATCGGAAGGGGTCAACTTGGATATATGTAATAAAAGCTATGAGGACCAGAGAAAAGCTGAACGCCTAAGTATAACTTTCGGCCCAATTGAGACTTGGTCTTGTGGCAAAGATGCCATCTTTTGCATTTTGGACACGAAAGTATGTGCTATCAAGCTATTACTTAGTGATAGGGATAAGATGGGATTGGGTCAGAGATTTAGGTTTTAATCTTGAATGCTAAGTCTTGCACCATAAACAAAAATGGCTGTATCATGCATGTAGCTATCCTCTTTAAAAGAAACTCAACGGTGCCATTAATTGTGAATTGAGAAATAACTTGAAAATTATTATATTAAAAATTATACCATATTAACTGTGCCTCAACGACTTAATCAGGTTACGACACTCATTAAATATTTTAGGTGATGGG